GAAAACTCAGTCAACCTTGAGCCGATCAGCATTGAACTGCTGGCAGTCGGCAGAATTAGCCTGCAGTATTTGTATTCTAACCGGAAGGAAGGAAGGAAGGAAGGAAGGAAGGAAGGAAGGAAGGAAGGAAGGTGGAGTCATCTGTGAGCCAGTCAGGATCGAACTGCCGGCAGTCGGCAGACTTAGCCTGCAGTACCGCATTCTGACCACTGTGCCACCTACAGCTCTTCTAACACCGACAGTAATGACAGCCCTGACGACAGCCTTCATTTACAAAAAAAATTTATTGACGTTCTTCTTTGATCTCTTTGCATGTCTTCCGAAGGTCCAAAGATTCAACTCCTCATGGACGGCACCCAGTCCTGCGTCTTCGTTTTTAGGCGCCGGAACAGCTGAAAGGAGCTGGTCCACTCTGAACCGACCTCTGTTCCGCCTCGCAAAGCGAGCTTTTCCCGGGCGCTTTCGTCGGGTTGAGAGCATGCTGGAACCCAACGGCGTATTTCTGAAGGTCCCTGTTGAGCCAACTGGTGACATCCCCTTTCTCACAGGGGCTCTGCTTGAAGAAACACACGGCGCCTTCCGTGTTGGACAGACTCTTCTTCTCATCTCGGATGACCACGATCTCCCTCTCCCCCAGATCGATGCCAGGATCCGGGGCCTCGATGGCACCGAGCTGCCCAGAAGCATCGAGCTCTTCATTCTTGGCACTGAGGCTGGAGACGTCGACAAAACAAACCAGCTTCCGTTGCTTGTCGGTTGGGACTTTGTCGTCGAACAGGCTGACTTTGCAGAGCCCGGCAGGGCAATGCATCCAGTCGATGTCCGGCGACATCATGGTGACCGGCACCATATATTCGGCGTTGGGGCACTCCTTGTGTGGAAGGTTGGCCATGATTCTGCGAGACTGAAAGACAGGTGCGTCAGTCTCTTTATCTTCCCATGCTCTTCTGCTGGGCGAGGACACTGGGACAGGGCAGGGAGGGGTCCAGCTGTTGTGACATCATAAAGCAGGTGAGGCACAGAGGTGGCAGCCCAGCTGTGGGAGAAGAGCAGGCAGAGATGATGAGAGTGGAGGAGGCGTTAAATGCGCTACTAGCTTGGAGTCCTGAAGGTGCTTTTTGTTGTTGTTTTTATTCTCCGAAGACATTTCGCTTCTCATCCAAGAAGTTTCTTCAACTCTGACTGGATGGAGGGGAATGGAAGGATTTATATTCTTGGCAGACAGCTGATCATAAACAGGAACGGTCATTAAGTCACTTTTTTCAATGCCGTTGTAACTTCAGTCACTAAGCAAACTGTTTTAAGTGTTAATATAAATAAATGGCATGAATCAAAATATATTAATGCGTTGATTTGCATTGCGTTGAGTCACAGATAACAATAAATAATAACAACAATAATAATTTTCTTTGTTTATATTATTCATTTATTAGTTCCAACTAATAATGATAAAAAAGTCCAGATCCATTTTCGCAGGAGCCCAGCTCTGCACCGCCTGGCTTGGGTTTGCCTTAACGTGTGGATGGATGCCTTCACTCCTGCTTGAGCCGGGGGTTGGACTAGATGACCTTCGAGGTCCTCTCCTGTCCTGGCCTCCCTGCTGGCAAACCATCCTCACGGCTCCCTATGGTTTGGTGAGCTCACGGGTCAACCACGAGCCTGAGGGGGGAAAAGAATAGAAACAAACAACAACAACAACAAAAAAGCAGGCAAACACGCAACACGCCTCGTGAGAACGCAGGCCCGCAAAGCGGAACTTCCCACGGGACACGTGACCTCCTCCTCCCTCCCCCCCCCTCCGAGGAGTGTTACGACCGTTGGGCTCTCTCGGCCACGCCCACGGGACGCGTCAGCAGCACGCGAGCCACGCACCAGCCCTCTTCCCCTCTCCCTCCCTTGGTGACGTCATCCCCGGCGGGGATTGGCGGAGAGCGTGGATGACGTGAAAGAGGGCGGGAGGGAGGGGCGGAGATTGGGGCGGGGCTTCCCGGCTGGCTCCGTTCAAACGCCGATGGCGGGAGCGGCGCGGCGGGTCGGTGTGAGGGGCGGTCGCTGAAGGAGCTCGGCGTTCTCGCTTCCGAGGCGGCGGCGGACGCTGGGCGCTGGGAGCCAGTAAGCCTCCTCTGAGGGAAGCGCGTGAGGGGTGCGGGGTGCTTGCCCAGCCCAGGGGGGGTCTCTGCACATGCTCAGAGGTGCTGCTTTCCGCTTTCCCCAGCATTGAATAAGTTAACCTGGAAGGCAATTAGAATGCAAAACCCGAACTCTCAGGTGTCAGCACACCCCAGAACGGAAGAAAAGAACCGAGAGCAGAAGAACAGAGTGGGAAGGGACCTTGGAGGTCATTTAGTCCAACCCTCTGTCAAAAGCGGGGAATCCTATAGCAAGTCAGAGGAGTGGGCTGTCCCAGCCTCCTCAACTTTTAAGGACTCGCTTAACAAGGACTCACTTAACATCGGCGGTGAGAAAGGTGGAAAAATGGGGCACTTAGCAAATGTCTCACTTAGCAACCTAAATGTTGGGTTCGTTTGTGATCGTAAGTTGAGGACGACCTGTATAAATCCGTGCAGAATTGTACACCATAATCGGTTCAGTCCGTATTATTGGGGGGAAAAACTGATATTTTTTGCTCCTAGCTTTGCATTATAGATTCATACTGCATTAGGATTTATGATGAAAGGTATAGGTTCTCCTGCTAGAGCAGGGGGCTGGACTAGAAGACCTCCAAGGTCCCTTCCAGTTCTATTCTATTCTAAAATCTTTGACTTTGCTGTTGTAAGTGTGTGCACTGAGCACTTGTGCACTGGAGACAAATTCCTTGTCTGTCCAATCACACTTGCCCATGAAGACTTCTCTCTTCCCTTCCCTTCTCTTTTCTCTCTTCTCTATTTTCTTCTTGTTTCTGTTCTTCCCCTTAATTTTCTACTTCTTGTTTCTGTTCCCTTCTTCATTCTATACTTTCTTTTTGTTCCTATTTTTTTTCCTTTCCTTCATTCTCCTATGACTCAAACTATTAACTCTAATTCTAACTAACTAACTCTAACTCTACATTTGTTTGCTTTTATATCATGTTTGTTTTGGATTATTTTACTATTCGTTTTGCTCTTGTATCTTGCCCAGGAGAGGCTGGGTTTGGAACGGGTTATAAATATCGTCAAGCAAGTCACTTCCTTGCTTTGTTTGGTCACATCCTCCCTCTCGTACAGATAATCCTTGACTTACAACTTAAATTCAGTTAGCGACCGTTTGAAGTTATAACAATATTGAAAGAAAAGCCTTTCCACCATTTTCTCACACTTAAAACCGTTGCAGTGACCGCATGGTCATGGGATCAGAATTGGGCACGGTGTGTATTTATGACAGTTGCATTGTCATATGTGTCACCTGTGGCCCCTTTCCCAGTCTTTTGACAAACAGCTCGAGGGGGAGGGAGCAAGATTCACTTAATGTCCATGTGATTCACTTAACAACTGAGGAATCCCTTAACACGGGCAAAAGCTGTAAAATGGGGCAAAGCTGACTTAACTGTTTTGCTTAGTAACAGAAATGTTGGACTTAATTGTGGGCGTAAGTCAAAGGCTACCTGTATCTTTTATAATTTCCAGTTTGCAGAAATGATAGTTGGGAGACTCTGACAACGCATTCAAGGATGCATCAGTGCAGTGGCTTGCCTCCAGAAGTCCAATACGGGAGCTTTTTAAGAAGAGATTGGACAACCATTTGTCTGAAATGGGATAGGGTTTCCTGCCTAGGCAGGGGGTTGGGCTAGAAGACCTCCAAGGTCCCTTTCAACTCCCATTCTATTTTGTTCTATTCTATTCTATTCTATTCTATTCTATTCTATTCTATTCTATTCTATTCTTTTTCATTCCAATATTCTATTCTTTCTATTAT